AAAAGTCCATTGCTTTTATAAAAGCGGCAACGGTCATCGACCGCAAAAAACTATCGGGCACTGAATAGAAAAATACACGGCAAACAAAAATATTAAAAAAAATTGTTCACGCTCAAAAAGAGCGCTGATTGTCGCGGTTTTGAACCCGGTACCGTATGTTATTAATTCTTGGACAGCCGGCTTTGACGAACCACAGTGGACAATCGAAAAGTAAAATAACTATCATTCATTTAGGTACACATCACATTGGCAATTGTAGCTTCGCTTTCATTAATTTATTCATATTTATTGTTAAAGGACGTTTTTATGTCATCATCATCATTAACAGCCTTCAATAGTCCACTGCTGGACATAGGCCTCTTCTCAGAAAAGAGGTTTTGGGCACACTGGCCACACGGATTGGTATTTCGAGTTTTCCTTCTCTTTCCAGTGCTATTGTCCTGCCTAGTTTTCTCCCTTAGATGGCTCTGACGACACCCACCCACTGTCCGTGTGGCGACGGAGTGCTGGTGACGCTCTGTCATCACACGGATAGTGGGTGAGTGTCGTGAGAGCCGTCTTCTTTAGGTTACAACGCCCCTAATTTATTTATGTAACAATAAATAAATAAATATATCATTGAGGGTTTCACCTCCCTATTGTAGTTATTCTGTTGAAATTGATTTTTTTTAAGCCAACATATGTCAGCTTCTTCTTTACGATATAGTACAACTTCCTACTTTAACTACGAGATCATGCGCATCGTTGACGAACTCCTTGTGAAACAAAAAAAAATGGCGTTAGTATTGTTTTGCACGAGTAATTACTAAGTGGGTAATATCTTTGTTTATTATCCTTTCTTAGCGGCTGGTAATCCTGACCGCTAAGCCGGAGGTCCTAGGTTTGATTCCCACTCAGGACGAATGTTACATTGTGTACATTTTTACATTACATTTCATGTATGTATTTAGAACTATGTAAGCATGCTTATCAGCAAACTGGTTGCTAGTTTTGATCAGACCGAATCAGACGGCCGTACGTGAGATGAGTGAACTTATTACGAGTATTATTCTGTTATCTTCATGGTATAACAACTAACGAAGGGAGGGAAATATGAATTAAAATAAAGTTCTTATTCTAGGAGCTCGTATTTCAGTACTAAAGCAGTAATTGGCAGCGTGGAGCGTAAAGAACCTTGTCTTGTTACGTTTTCGATAGTTTTGTAGCATAAGGCTGCGGGACTTACTAGGGACTTTGTTAGCAAGTTATTAATAGCAGTCTGAATGCTAACACCGGAACATGTATATATAATGTAACATAATATATGTGGCGCACCAAAATTGTGTCACACAACTCTGTCCAACCTATCCGGAAAATACTGTACAAGTATGAAAGTTAGAATATATAAAAACAAATACAGTATTAAGAGGCAAAAAAGAAAACATTTCCTAGAATCAAACCAGCACTGTACGCGCCACACGCTCAACTGATCCGTCGGTGCGTCGACCGTGTTTTTTCACTGTTTTGTAAATAATTAAGCATCAACCAAAAATGTCAATTCCAGTTGCGTCCGATACTGAGTGGGATCAGATTGATTACATTCACGTATTAACTTTGGATCGGAACTTAATACCCAGTTAGCCAATACGTTTCACTTTTAATGTAAGTTATGTTTTAACTATATTCTCTTTATCTTTTTATGTGTAAGTTACAGTTTTTATTATGCTCTCGTGTAATATCGGGAGTGTTCGCGAAAAGGGACGCAAGTCTGTAACATATAAAAGGAGAAGCACGCGCTTTTTGGTTTGACAAAGGAGCACGCCCGCGCCATTTAATTTGAACAATGAGCGCACGCCGACCCGTGACTACTGTACCCGCCAAAGTCGCTCATTTTTTATTTAGTTGAGCATCCTAAGTGATGCACTGATTGCTTAATTCACTGTTTAATACAAATTATTGTTAAAGGTGAATGTGCTTTGGCGTGAATATTGCGCTTATGTTATTTGTGCGAGGTTCTGCAGTGAATTCTCAGATCGGTGTAATTGTTATTGGGTATTCTGTTAAAAATGATTTCCAAGAACCTGAATATGATATTGGTGGTGGCAATAGACTCTTTGCTTTAGATCAAACCAAAATAAAGGTAATTTCTTTAAAAACAGAAAACTGGCTTTAATGCTTTTCAAGTTCAAGTTGGACCACTTTGCGAATGACTAATTCGGTTTAAATAATAATTTATTATTATTTAAATCAATTTACAACTAGTTAAAAGACAGTGATACAGACACTATTTTGAAGTCTGTAAAAAATATTAAATATACAGCGTGACGTTTTTTACGAAAAACCGCAAAATATATTTATAGACTTTACAAACTATACACAAATCTACTCGTAAATCAATCTTTTCAGCAATGTTTTCAACGTTGGAATATTATCTGTACGAGTACAGATAAAACTAGAACCTATAAAATTACCATTGAAATTTGATAAATTGTTGACAAGTGGCTAAATGCTAAGATTATATTGGTTTGCAGGAGTTATTTATATAATTATATATATAATCAGGCGTACATAACTTTGTTATTTGAGTATAATTAATTCAAAGTTATTCAAAGTCCGCTTAGTAAGGTCTCATGTTTTAAGACTTTTATGTAGTAAAAAATATTTTCTACTTACGGTGCCACAGTGCATCGGGTCGTTTTCTAGGCAACCAACCACCTAAAAAAAGATCAGATTCTTTTTCTCCTAACATCTCATATCACATATCTGTTCTTTAACTCAGGGCCTCAATTCTGCTATTTTATGTTTACGCAAAGCCACTGTCATACCACTGACACGCTATTGAGATGCCATCGAGTGGCCATTGGCATCGGTATAAATATCAGTAGTTGAAAATATATTACGTTTTTTGAGGAAATGATTTATTTTGAACATAAAATAGCAGAATTGAGGCCCAGGTCGACTCAGATGTAGTCGTCATTTTCTTGAAACTTCATTAACGTGGTTGCTGGAAACGAAAGATACTCAACAACCTTTATATCTATGTATACTCAAGTATACCTTTATATCTACGTATTATTATTAAAATATGAAAATTTATAGTTCTTTTTTAAAGAAAGTGGTTAATAGAGAGTTTCTTATTTTCTTTAATAAACGTAATATTCTCAAAGCGACATCGGGAAACACTAAGCACCACAACGTTCGAAGTTCTTAACACAATTACGAGTAATTCTATATAAAACGGGACTCGGTAAGTGCACTGATTATAATGAATAATTCAAACGGCGAATATTCTGTTTCGAGACCACTGTTACTTATACAAGTACACTGCGTGGGCCTTATTCAAATTCAGGCTTATTAAACTTATCTTTACTTTTGAATCCATTAGACTAACTATTGCTAATTAATTCGTAATACAAATAAATTCAATGGTATTGGTTAAGTTTCTTTCTTGGTTTGTGTTGCGAAAGCTTTCCTTCTTGGTATTTTTTCTCTTTTTTCTTTTTTTAAAAGACAACTCCCGCATTAGGAATATATATCCTGTGTCGCGGGGGACTTTAAAAACATACATGAAACGGACACAAAGAACACCCAGACTCAGAACTACAATTTGTGAATCATACAAAGTTGGGTCCCATGTGGGGATCGAACTCAGTGCAGTGGAGTAGCAAGCGGCGTGGCGACCGCATAAACCACTACGCCATCCGTGCAGTCATTACTTTAAGCAGGCGTTTGTGATACAAACGTAAGAGATCCATAATTCCGCACATATGAGCGAGGCTTGACCGGAGTGGTACCACGGCCTCACAGAAAACCAGTGTTACGCAGTTCTTTAATCGCTTTTCACCGAGTGAGAGTGATTACCGCAGCCCAAACCTTCTCCTCCCCCGGATTCAAGGGGAGGGACTGAAATAGATGGCTCGGGGACCATCAGGGTACCAGGGATTTCCTTCCTAGGATACACCTGATTCCCATGCTACTGGTACCCGAGATGGAGTGCGGTTTTTGATCGGTTCGAGTCCGACATAACCACCGGTGATTGGTATCCGAGGGGGTTAAGCTCAAGGTTCTAAGAAAAAAAAAGGGCGCTCCCCTTGACTGTAACTCTTGAGTTGAACTGAAAGGCCGCACTTGTAACACTTGAGTCCATGGGCGGTGGAAGTCACTTACGATTAGGTGACCCGTCTGCTCGTTTGCCCTCCCTTTGCCATAAAAAATAATTATGTATTGTATAATTAGTATTGTATGGTCGGGCCTTTTGGTCTAGTAAAATCAACAACCCGGAACATGACACTACCGCCAGCAGGATTGTTATTGTAAGTTATTAGTTAAGTTAGTAACGTTAGAAGGCTAGGTTTTGCCAGCAACAGCAAGTTGTTGTTGTATTATTCCTTAAAATCCCTATCTCTACAGACTCCTGAACCCGAACCAATGTGGTAAGATTGGTCCGGGTCAGAGTGGGGTGCCCGAGACCGATCGTCGGGGTGGATTTAGTGGAAACACCACATTCTCCTGGCTCCTGATATTGCATATTTCTGACTAGGTATTGTTGTAAACACACATGTTCTACACATAAATATATCTTATCTTTGAGCCCCCAAGGATTCTCCACATCGCCAAAAAAAGGCTTTACCACATGTGTATATTCTAAGCAATATGATCATTAGAAAAACCTTTCAAAATTGAAGTATAACTTTCTGAGCCACATGTCAAAGGTTTTTAGCGATTATTCAATCTATATATATTTACTTATGTATTAATAATACTTCATATGTACTTTATACATTCTAGTATTCTTAATTACTTGTCTTACCTTATTGATGTCAAGGAACTCTGATTTCAGGCAATGTGACTTTTACGTAGGCTTTAGCAAGACATGAACTAACTTATCAATGACATGTTTATGCAATAGATGTTGGTTACATAGTATTACTAAGTTTTCTTTTTAAAGGTCTGTTATTGGCTAGTAACTGGGTGGCTCCCAATTGGCTGTGTACTCGTACATATCAGAGGTTGCAAACTTTTTATTTAAAACTAGCTGATATAAGTATCGTAGAATAAGATGATATACCTTGTGACATTCCACTGTTATCAGTCTTTGGTTCTACGACTTTTAAGGTACCATCTTCAAGGAAGAAGAAGATTTCGACTTTGCGTAAAACAGAAGCCGCCGAACGATTCTCATGCAAAGTTTGTTGGAAGTACGCTTGAAAATGTAGAATCTAAATAAAAAAGGATAAAGCATGTACATGGACATTAAATTCAAGTAGAAAATTTTCAATAAATATTATATTCTGTATTATTCTAAGATACTAACTACAAACAAATATAACTGATATAATTACGTTCTTATCAAACATAAGCCAAGTTGGTAAATCCGGAGCTTGTTTACGACAGTACAATGAAGGTACTCTATTCACACCTTCAGCTTTATCAACTAACATGTTAACTTTGTCGATGCTCGTGAATACAGGGCGTACACCGAAGTTGGTCTTTCCTATCTGAAATATAAATAGTAAAATATAAGTTTCTTTTTAGATGAAAAACTTTAAATGATTGGAGTCCACATATTAATTTATTATTTGTAATATTACTAACGATCCGCACCGGTTTCGCACGGGTGCAAAGTAGATATAAATGTATTTTCAGTGGCGAGTAATTAATTACATTAATATAATTAGACTATACTACAGGATATCTTTATATACGGACTAGCTGATCCGCGCAAGTTCGTCTGCGTCTCTCAATAGTAATAAATTTTCTCCGTTTTTTGAAACATTCTTCATTGGTGCTCCGCTCCTATTGGTCTTAGCGTGATGATATATAGCCTATAGCCTTCCTCGATAAATGGGCTATCTAACATTGAAAGAATTTTTCAAATCGGACCAGTAGTTCCTGAGATTAGCGCGTTCAAACAAACAAACAAACAAACAAACAAACAAACTCTTCAGCTTTATAATATTAGTATAGATGAATTAAAAATTAATGTAAATGTTTCATCACACTGCCTTCATTTTTCTCGATTGCTGATATAATTACCTATATCGTATTTATAATAATCCGTTCACATAAACAGTTAAAATTAACTGTTTTAAGATTGCGTGCGACGCCCGAGGAGATACAGGTATTAATTTATGCGCAATATTAAATAGTAATACGGTGAGTAATAACTATTACGTACATTCTTTAGTAATGATATTTATAGCTTGATAATTCTGATCGGTTCTGAAATTCTGTGCCGCGCCCAACATTAAGGAATAATGTGGTGTTTTGTTGTTTTTTCATACTAGATGACCCGCACAACTTCGTGTGGTTCACTCAAAAGGAATAAATTTTCCCGTTTTCAAAATATGTTTCATTGGTAATCGGCTCCTATTGGTCGTAGCATGATGTTCGATGAGCTACATCCTTAGTCGATAAAACGGCTATTTAACATTAAAATAATTTTTCAATTCGACCATACCCCGAACATACAAACTCACAAACTTTACCTTATAATATATCCTCTTGATAGTATAAATTGTCCAGGTCAGGAGTTCTCAAAGCGAGCCTTTACAGGGAGGTTAAAGAGATCTTCAGAGTGATTCATTATGTCATGCTAAGTTAGAAATATCCATTAAAAAAAATATTTTTACTTGTGTGTGTTGTGTGTAAGTACACAAAAGTGAGATAGAGTCATTGAGTTATAATGTACTACGTACAGAGTGCCTACTAGATCCTACTTCTATGAAACTAAAATTTACCTGAATATTTTCTTGAAAAGCATAGCAGTCCGAAAAGTTAGATTTAGCGATGTATCCAGTAACCAGTCTAGTATATCAACAATAAATTTAATGTTATTCAGTCGTTGTTATAATGTTCAAGTTTAATCATGTAAAAATTCTAGAAATATCCCATACATCTGTTGAGGTATTTAGATATTACAGTGGGATATGGAAACTCGCATACATATAATACATACATGAACCCTATAAATAATATACTCCTTATTTGAACAGTCGTGTGATAAACGTATTACGAGTATAATGGTCTCATTTCACAGACACTTGCGTTGGTAGTTCACATCATCACATCAACAGCCTTTAATAATCCACTGGCTGGACATAAGCCTCTCCTTAGAAAGGAGGTTTTAGCCTACTACTACTGCGTTGGTAGTTAGAAAATTAAAATATATATTTGGCACGTTCGTATCTTTGTCCATTGTTAATCTTGTCCGTTTTTTAAATGGATTTTTTTAACCTATTTCGTACAGTTTAATTCGTAAGACGTATGATATACTGCTATCCATAAAATAGTGAATTACAGCTAAGGCTTGCCTATTTTATTGGTAAGGATTGCCTATCAAACAGCCTATAGGAATAAAATCTAAATTAATATGCACTCTCAACATAATAACTCATTAAAATGCTTCAAATGTTATAGCTCCGGTTCTAAAAGCAATCATTTAAAATATACCTATCTAGCTCCGGCAAAAAAGCAAAATCGTGACTTATTCATACGTACCAACAAACGAGGTTGTGGCTGTCAAGCAAATCTGTCACTTATTGCGAGAGAGACAACCGCTTTCGTTACATTAACATTTTATTAACATTTGCCGTGCGTCATTAGGGTTGAAATTTGAATATCTGCAGATCGGAAATGCACAAATTAAGCGAGTGATCTGTTGCCAGTAATGAGCTGAAAGGTACGTAATGACGGGGACGGAGGACGGAACAAAACAACACTCTTGCTTACCTCAGCGGGTTAGTAACGAACGGATAACTCATTGTATGGAGTAGGCTTCGTCTAATCAATTTATTATAGAAAATCCTAGAATTTCAAAGATTTGTAATGTGAAGTCGTAAAAAACATGTTTTTGTGCGCTTACATTGCAAACGGTGGCTAAATCTTACAAGATATGTAGATCAAAATAATGTATGTACTGCGGAATTGTTTACCTTAAAAAGATCTACAAAAAAGCTCGAAATTATATACATCTATCTCCTAAGCATAACCCACAGTGACCATTTTTATCTTTTACATATTACAAGAAATCCTTTTAAAAAAGTTGTTTCGACTTCAAACAATGCTAACTAAACTTCAAATAACAGCAATAGTTACCATCTAGTCTGTTTAGTCTTCTTAAAGTACCTCCTCTTTTGTGTTTTTAAAGTCGGTTAAAAAATAATGGGTAATTTAAGAAGCTATTTTGAACAATACAGTATTAGTCCGTATCTTATTAAATACGTTAGATACGTTGTGCATTTAATGTACATTCAAAAATTAATATCATAGTAGATATCAGTGATTCAAAATGCGCTGGCAAAGCGGCCGTCGCCCCGTCGGGCCGTACGTCAGTCCCGTGTGGCAGCGGTTGCATACAAAGATGTCCTGCAGTATAGTTTTATCATATTAATAGTATAATTAATTAGTCTACACTGACACCACATTAGAATTGAAATTAATGTAAAGCGCTCGTAAACTTGTCTTAAAAACAAATCAAAAATCTTTTCACGTATTGATAATTTAGCTTGGGTCATAATATTTACCATATTAGTAAGTAAAGTATAATAATTTTAGTTACACAAAGTATGCCAGTTAGGAATTTAACAAATTTGGAAAGCAAAACAACTGAATGTGCTTGTCAAGCGAAATATCAATCCCTATTACGTTGCAGAGAGCACAGACTCGAAAGAAGATAAGTTTTCATCCAGGCTAGTCACATGCTTTACCTGGCTTTAAAGAGGGAAACGCCAGTTGTAACCTATTTCATCATCTAAGTAGGGTAATTACCTGCTTCACCACCCATATACCATTAATAATACACTATTTTTATTAGAGCAGGGAAATGGGAGAACCATGCCTTGGCAAATATACTTCAAAGAAAACCGGTGTGAAATATTTTTTTCGTTACTAGCTACCACGTTACTAACCCCCACGCTATTACTAGGGGGGAGGGGGCGCTATTACTAAAGGGTAATAGACAATAGTCTATAGGTGGCGGTAGTCACTTACCATCAGATAACCGTTTGCTTGTTTGTCCCTATACCCGAAAAAAAACATATTTTCCAAATTCTCTTCAATCAGCAAAAGCCTTTTCTGTATAATCTAAACATCCAATACTCCTTATTAATAAGGAACGGTAGCTCTCGGTTGCACACAGAGAGACGGACACACGGACACGGCGAGCGACATTTGTAATGATACTAAATAGTTGCGCGCGGTAGGTGCCCCGCAAACGAGTAATGCGTTCTCTACTCGAGTGAAAGGATGACGATATGCACAGATGAGTAATTAATAATAATAACTTGACACATCTCAAACATAGGTGTTTGATACAAAACTAGGAAGAGCGTGCACTACGGCAACCAGATTGCTGATAAACATACGTTTCTAAATACGAGTACATATGAACAGAAACAGGTCAGTTGAATAGGTATTAGGAAAAATAGGTATCTACCTAATATTTGCGAAGACAAAGCTGATCGTGAGATATTTGATTCACATCAATAATAAAAATATCTTGAGACACATGACTAACTAGTCCCGAACTGTGCAAGGACTGAACTGTAGGTTCTAGAACACAGACATAAACAAATCATACATAGTCATTAAGGGGTAACGGAGCGCAGTGGGTGAGTGCAGTACGCGTATTTCATATTCGAGTTACGAGTACGGACAGTTATGAAGGGTATCTTATTTAGTGAAATAGGGCCGCTAAAGTGCCAAACTAGTCAAGAACTGGCACACACACCCGTCTCCTTTTAACCAATTTCCAAAAGGAGGAGGTTATCAATCCGCATATTTAATTATTTTTTTATGTATGTTCGAGCAAAACTCCGTCATATAAAGACACATTTTCAATATTCTTTTTTTCGAAAGGTATTATTCCGAAATGGTCCCATTTAAATTTCATATAGATCTGATGATGAGTTTCGGCGACAGACAACGAAACTCTTAAAAAAATTACAACAAATCAACCGTGAGTGCTGCTAGGTTTTTCTTGTTAATATTGTTTGAAGTCGGTTCAACTTTTTTTTAAAGGATTTATAATAATTTATATAATAAACTTTACTACATAGATGTAAAACAGGACAGCATTTCATTAATTTAAAACTATCATTCTGGTTCTGATCTAGTACTCTGGCAGCATTAAAGAAAGAACTTATTATAAAAGAAAACTTCTTTTGTTTTTTAAATCCGTAGACTTTTTTTTAGCCATCGTAAATAGAAACTAATTTTTCAATAAGAGGCTTCGGATTTTCTGGCCATAGTCGGCCAGCCCTATAAAACAGGGATGCGACAGATTCATATTCATAACAGGACACCTAGCTCTTAACCGACAACTACTCACCATTAATGCGACGGATAGTACTCTTTGCAGAGGATGCCTGAAAGCAGAAGAAACGGCCGCCTTTGTAATTCTGGAATGCGAGGGAGTGGCCACACAACGGGCAAGTACCATACCTGGTACAAAATCGCTATTAGAATCCTGTGAAAGTCCCAGGTGGTTTCTGCGCTTCTGGAAAGAGCTTGGTTGGCTCACCTAGACAACCTTTCCTAGACGCATAAAGGACCACGCCGAGTCCAATACAGGTATGCAACCTTGAGCTCTTGCTTAAATTCCTCAAATCGCGAAACGTAAACAGTATTACTTCTCCACTATTATGATACATTCTTATTTACCGTTCCTTTCAATAGACAACCATTTGCCTATTTAATCTCTAAAGTTGCCACTTGACAGCAATAACAATACTTCATTACGTAAATGGAACTGAAATTAAATTTAATATACCTGTACGCACCTCCTTGAGATCTTATATAATTGTATGTGTGTATGTGTGGACGTCTTTACGATTCAATTATTAAAAAAAAACATTGTGTGTGAATTTGTTTTATGGGCATTTGCAATTTGTGGAATGACTGCAGAAAACATGCACTGCTAAGATGACTATACTACAAAACTATCAGATGAGCGTTTTTGGAGACGGAATTAAGTGTATAATATATATTTTTCTAAGAGTGGGCCCGTCACATACTGCGGTCCAGACAATAAGTCAGAAGCACCTATCTGCGTAATGTCTCGACGAACATTTACATATTTTAATGAGCAGCGGAGGCCTATCTTCTATAGTCCCACTGTATAAGTACAGTTCGGTAGCCTAGCCGCAGCCGCGGGTAGCCTAGATCTGTGCGCTCTCACTCGCCTTTGTCGTTTGATGGATGTTACCGATTCGCTTTTAACTTAGCTTGTTAAATTGTACGAATTTATAAAATCGCTAATTTTAGTAAAATTAGCGATTTTATAAGCTTTATTCCCTAGTCCTATGAGTTAGATTTTGTTTGCTTTAGAGTAAAATATGCTAAAAAAATACTCCACTACTATTTTATAAAGAAATAAATATTTCTGTCAGACTGCGTTGAACCCTACATAAGTACGTTAATCTAGTAGTATTTTGAATAAACATACTTTAATATTCTGTGTTTGTATACATTAAGAAACTAAGTTAGTAAGCTCTCAGTTGAACAGAGTTGGTTAGTGTGTTATATTGGTGCTTTTTCACGGTAGTGCGAATACCATACCATGCGGACGAAAGCTTTATAACACCTGCTGCAGATAACTCTTTTATTCGCTCTTTTTTTTTTAAAGACAACTCCCGCAGTAGGAATATATTCCTGTGTGACACAAAGAACACCCAGACTCAGAACAACAATTTGTGGATAACACAAAGTGTAGCCCCATGTGGGAATCGAACTCATAACACTCAGTGTAGTAGTAAGCGGCGCGGCGACCGCTTAAAAACCACTACGCCATCAGTGCAGTCAACAATAACTGTTGGGTAGCTTTGGTCTTTCTTACGATAAGACAAAAGCTAAACCCAGCGGTGAGCCAATAAATATACGGATGGGCTATACGTAGCTGATTGGTCTTCGATCCGTTTCTCAAACTGGGTTGGGATCGGCTTTCAGTGTCCTACGACACGGCTGAACTTAAATTATTTACGTGGAACAACTGCCATTAGATCTCCACGACCCAAGCAGTACCAGTACTAGACGAAATCGAAATTCTGTAGAAAGACTGCTGTCTGACTTTTTTAGGGTACCAACTACCCGTAACGATTGCCACAGATATTCGTACGGCAACCGGGGTCCGACGACGACGACGACGTGTTAAGAATGGCCACCCATCCATAGACTGACCTGGCTAGGATGGCTTAACTTTGCAATATGCTAACCTACTCGGTGACCGATACGAGCACTATCAGAAGATCAGTTCATTGATTATTTACAGAAATATGGTAGACATGTGACAGGACGACGTTACACCTTTCGGCTTCCAAGTTTATCATTAGAATACTTTACCTACTTTAGAAAACTCTTGAGTTTTTTGCAGTTATAAAATTACGATTTGATAATTAGCGAATTAATCATATGAAAAAAAAAAAAAACAAAACGGGCCCCACTGTGCGTTGTGTTGCAGTATCTTTTATGTTCGGTCACCCATCTATAAACTGTCATAACATTAATTAAACGCATTTTTTTTAAAAAAAACATAAAATAATTGGGTCAAGGTACACCCTACTACCCTTGGCGGTATCTTCTATCCGGGGTGGGTTAAGGTCATAGTGCACGATCAAATTTTCAGGACGGGACGGGAACTGTAACAATATATATGTTTTCGGTTTTTTATACGAAGCCATAGAAATCGTATCTAGCGGGTAAAATAACGTGGTATGGCGCTTCTTTGAATTAACGCCTACTTACCCAGTCTGAGGTAAGCAGTTACTTACAGTAATCAATATTTGTTCTGTTGTAATAAATGTACGAACCAAAATAAATAAGAATTTAAAATTTAGGGTTTACCTTAGTTATACTTTTAAATCATAATATTTCAGGGTGACCTTTCGGCCGAATATTTAGTACGCATTCATTTAAACTATAAAACCGTCATTTAACCCCTAACAAGTAATAAAATGGGTAATACAAAAATCTAGTTAAATAAAACAGAAACGGACAGTAAATGGATGTAAAGTAACTGCAAGTGTGGTTCGTGTGCTTCGAAGACTTGAACATATTCATTGAGAGCATTGGCCCCGGTTCTAATTATTTCAAATTCCTAATTGCCGGTAAATGTCTACTGTATGTATCCACGTAATCCTGTTTGCAATCTCCTTACTGTACCCTTATCCAAAACTAACCTTGGTCTAAACGCACCCCTAAGTAGAATGAAAACTCGAAATAAAAACTGATAAGTATGTAGGTACTGATCGTAACTGCAACCACTAAACTCACCAGACCAATAGAGTTAAGTTTGTGATACCTATATATCAATGTGATTTTGTTAATATGTTGTCTAAACTGTGAATGCTGTGTTAGCTCGTAAGTGGCATGTATATCAGAACCTTATTACTTAGATTTTACCATTAATGTTACATATATGTGCTGTGAGTTAACCTAATTAATAAATAAATAAGTATGTACACCGTAGATCATAGACTTTTCAGTCTGCGGCAAAGACCAAATGGTTATATTTTCTCTTATATAACTAGAATACTTAACAACTAAACTGATTTTGATGTGTTATGTCCTTAGATTTGTCTTCAGTATGTTTTACAATAAAGTGTGATTTTAATTTTGAATACCAAAAAGTAAATAAATACAATATGTTGATGTATGTGTTGGTTTATGATTTCTTATTTGATCCATTGATTTGATTTCATATAAAGATACAGGGGATGTTAACTCAGAAACTTTGTTAATGAGGATTTCTAGTACTAAGGATGCAATTTTAATCAATATTGGTTTTAACAGAGAGCCAATTTACAAATGTTAAGATAGTGCCGTTTAGATAGTGACTCAATTCGTGTAATTTCTTTTAATCTGCTGCAAAAGAATGATACAATAGTTCGTCTTATTGAAACAAAAATGTTACCTTTTCCACAAAAAAACATTTTAAACTATGGGTAATATTTGTTCATTGAATTAATTTCATATAGCAGCCGTATCGTATATTTCATATGGCCAGTAAAAAGAAGCAAAATTAATATTTTGATTCTGTGGAATTCTTGTTAAAAAATAATTTCATCATTGTTGTTACAATCGGACATCGCGGGCTCAGCAACACATAATTCATTTATACCTGTACCTAACTGATATATATGCTTACCCTACATGAAATTCATTAACAAAGCCACCTAATAACTTCCCCACCGGTGGGGGGGGGGTGAGGTCAGCGGTGTAGGACTGGGGTGGGGTGGTTGACAAACAGCACCCTGTAATGTGCTACTGTTGAATTGCAAAAATCTCATTATGCTCTAACTGTCGTTATAGGAGTAATTAACTACCGTGAATAGTAAACGGAATGGAGTCGACGTGGTATTTATATTTGGTGGTGGCAGTGTTCTATGCACAGTACCTTGGAATGTAAATTCTTGTGATTAATCCATTGCAGTATCATTCAGAATTTTATAAGGAATATAACTGTATCCCATACATCTAAATCTCTTAAATGGAATTTTGAATTAATGATGGAATAAAGATACTTACATTGAGGCATATTCCTATGTTTTAAGCAGTTAAGCAAAAAAAATTATAACGCAGACACACAAATTAACTTATTTTCTATGTGGCCCAGACAAAGTTTAAAAGGCCCGAGATAGGCGTATTCTGAATGTGCTTTTCTAAGAAAGACAGAACTAATAATCATGCTCATCGCTCAATTATTTTGCCTGGGTGGAAATCGAACAAACGACCTCCGGCTTAGCGTTTAGGTTCGCAAACCACTAGACTAAAAGGCCAATCATTGTTTTTTTACTATTACCAGCACATTAACATTTTCAGCTGACAATGAAATCTCTTTTTTGGTTTACGATCAAATAAACTTTAAAGTTGAATATTGTGATTACGTGGAAGGTAAGAAATAATATTTTTTGAACAAATATAAAATTGTTTTTTTTTTGTATATCATACCGCAAATTTCAATTCGTAAAAATGGTAAGTAACCGAATTTCGTAGTGTCTATAACTTGTTTAGATGAAAACTTACAGGCCCGTAACTTCAATTGACTTTAACTTATTTTTTCAGTCGTTTGCTTCGTATTTTCTTCTCGATCCAACAGTTTTGATACTATTATTGCAATAGATAGGCTATTGATATCTTAGGCTAAGCTATTGATCTATCAGATTTGTTATTAATTAGAAACACTAATTTGCAATATAGTTTAATATTCATTCTCCACCAGCAATCAGTGTACTACATACAGCAGTCTTTATGCAAAACCTCCAAAATAACTGCAATAGAGTTTATATCTTCGTCTACTCCACATATTTTCTAATCCTATGGTAATTGTGTTTCGTTATAACGAGTTTTTTGGCGAGCGCCAGCGCGACCCGCGGCAGACCTGTGTTTTGCTTTGCTCATTTCACTCGCCATAAGATCGCTCTATGATATACTGTATGTAGTACTTAACTAGGGACCTATTAATGCATAATTGAATGACACTTATCCTATCTAGTGTAGTGTGCTAATTTCGTATATTTTAGGACTTTAAGAGTTGAGAGATCGTTGAGAAGTACATATACATATGTTGATTCTTAGAAAAAGCATAGCAGAATTCAATAAAACTGACTATTGTATTATTATTTATGTTATTGGATTATTGTAATTATACAGAATGGAGTTTTATTGACATACGTGTAGCCGCACTAGTATTGTGTGTTGTAACTACTTAAAATCAGTAGAACTCAAGAAGAGTAGAGCGGTCTCATATATTGCAGACCTACAGACCTATGCTTCGATATTTGTGTCGTTATTCAAATTCAGATTCGACTGATAAACATACTTATATCAGTAAGTACAACCTATTTTCAGATTTTTACTGTTACGCGTAGATATTATTCATCAATATGCTAAATTATAGGTAATTTAAGTGAGTACAGTAAGGTAAGGTAAGTATAGTAAAGAAGTTTAATTTAAAATCAATAAATTTAATCAAAGGTTAAATCTATCAAATCATCCATACTTTCGTCTTCTTTTTGAACGTCTTGTTTCACTGTCGCAGTGTGAGCACCTGAATCAATCTGTTTCGAAATTAGAAGCTCACTTTCCTTTTGATTCGAAGTTTGAATTTCAGCTTCTTTAGCTTTCGGTGTCGGTGTCTCAGGTTGTCGTACTGCTGCTGTGATTGTCTTTCGTTTTTTTTCTTTAGTGACAGAGACAGTAGGGGCTATAGCATTCAAATGAGTTTTCTGAAAAATAAAATACCTTATTTTTACCCAATAGTTTCGTTATTTTAATGGTATTATGGCTACCGACGTAGGAACCCTACTACAAGGTAGATGATGTAGGTACAAAACATTACTAATTTTTTTGCGTGTACCCCTGTGTATGTCTTGGAGAACGTATTATTATATTTCACATGCTAAACTGAATATTTGGGTTACTTCTTTTAAGATTGTTTCAGACAAGGGATTTTACTGGATTGATTCGTACTCTTAAAAAGGACACACAGTAGCAAACAGTGTAATTATCGCACATAATGTGAAGGTCTTCGTCTGTAAGCAACCCTAGAATACAATTTCTACCAATTCTAATAGTCTACCGGAAAGTGTAATTAGTGCTGGTTTAAAATTAAAAACAACAAAATGAACACAAGTGCAGTGCTATGCGCGCATCAGATCTATGATATGTTAGTGCATTATAGAATTATAATAATATTGGCACTGATATATAATTATTCAATTCTGAACAAAGAAAGGATCGCAAGAAAGGTGGTAAACATGGAATTGAACTCTAATTATACCCACCATTTGTAAGGACACCTTCTCATAACCGCTTGTTATTGGAAGATGCATTAGATTCATAGGTAGAGCTAATCCTTTCAAAATAAGCTTGAACCATACAACATGGTTGGGGAATCTTGGAAATGTCGTAACAAACTGTGCTTTCCATCACCGATTAGTTTGTTAAACGTATGTTTTGTAATTTAGAGTCAATTAGGCATATCATTTGGATGCGAAAACATCAATTGCATAAATAAACGGCTCCATCACACCGCTATTTAAAGATTCAACGTCGAATTTAAATATAAAATCGTTGTTAATATAAGTGGAATCCGATTCATGGGATTTGTGCGTTGGCTTTTTAGTGATTTATAAGTGGGACGTTGGGAATAATGAGGTGTGGAATTGTGGGGTTGTTATGGTTTAAGGTGTGAATTTTTATATTATATTTAGCCGTTATTAACATTGACAAGTACTTTTATACGATTTTATTACATTTTATACGTTTATTACCCGACTGCACCAGAATTTCTTTGTAACTCTGTAGTTTAAACGACTTATTGGATGTTGGCTTGGGAGGTGTCGTTAGATTCTTCTTAATTGAGCGAGTAAAACTGGCTATAAGAAAACATCATAATTATGTAAACTACCTTTAACTTCTAACTTTTTCCTGCGGCTCCGCCCGCGTTTATGTCGGTTCTCGTGGTAAACAGTAGCCTATGTCTTTAACATCTAAATCGCTTTAGCGGTTATTGATTCCCCATACAAACTTCTACTCTCCTCTTCACCCCCTTAAAGGCTGATTTGCGGGATGAAATATACCTATCCATGTCCTTTCCCGGGACTCAAACTATCTCTATAACAAATTTCATCTTTAATCGATTCAGCGGTTTAAGCGTGGAGAGGCAAGAGATAGACAGACACACCTTCATATTTATAATAGTGGGTAGTACTGATATACATTTCCACGTAGTCGAGTTTGTAGTTTTTTTTCAATAATTACCTAGCTTGTTCAACTAAGAAGGATTTGATGGCTTATTAAATTAAAGTGTGTTGTTATTATTTGAGTATAGGCGCGAGAAAACACGTGGTATATTCAAAATGGCTTACCAAAGAAGGACATCTTCTCACCAGGAGTTTCACGTCTTCAGTGTTAATCGTCGACCTCTTACCGTGTCTGTGGCGGAATGCAATATTCATTTTATAATACATGGTGATATAGGGACTGTTGCAAACTAACGTGCGATTGTTGAATTCCAACTTTTTTTACTGGTAAGCCTTAGGTAAATGTAAAAAAGTTGGCATTCAATCATCCGACTGAATTAGCTATAATTAATATAATAAATTCACTATCGTAGGTACCTAATAAAAGTAGTAACAGTTTAAGAATTTATAACCAAACTAGAATTAAAGTATATCCATACCAAATTTCCGTGTGGTGACGGATTAAGAATACAGAGTGTCACCACCCCTATTCATCCCGTTGGTGTCGTAAGAGCCGACTAAGGGAGAAAACTACGCAGAACAACAGCACTGCAGAGGAAGGAAAACTTGACACAAACCCTGACCAGCGTGGTATAGTAAGCCAAAACCTCCTTTCTAAGGAGAGGCTTATGTCCAGCAGTGGACTATTAAAGGCTGTTGATGATGATGATGATGATGATACCAAATTCATCTAAATCGGTTTAGCGGTTATTGATTTCCTATACAAACTTCCACTCTCCTTTTCAACCCCTTAAAGGATGATTTCTAGGATAAAAACTAGCTTATGTATGTACTTTAAAAGTAATAACTAGTATTCCCGTTAACCCCTCCCGCTAAGCTTAATTGCTTGTTTTAGGAGTGGGTTAACGTCGGTAGTGTACTGGTCAGAATTCGAACCCAGGACCTCTTAATCGCAAGTCCAATGAATTAACCACTAGGCTACAGCTACCTCCATACCAAATTTCATCTAAATCGGTTTAGCGGTTTAAGCGTGAAGAAGTAACAGACTGACAGACAGATAGACAGACACACATTTATAATATTAGTGTGGATTGATAAAAATATTGTTTTATCTATCAGAGTGTAACTAAAACTTCAACCTCAAACGATAGGTAAATATTTATAGCACCAGGGACTTCCTTTCTAGGGTATACCTGGTTCCCCGGCTATTAGTACCCGAGACGGCGTGCGGTTTTAGTCGGTTCGAGTCCGACATGCCACCGATAGGTGGTATAGGAGGGGATTCCCGCACGGAAAAAAAAAGGTAAATATTTATAAAAATGACTTTTGTTTAATAATAATAATCTATTTCGTAAAATATAACCTTTTACATTATAGTCCTGGACGTTCTAGCTAGGCTACTTACTCGACTGGCCCGTTGGTCTAGTGGTTAGTGACCCGGGTTCGATTCCCACCCAGGACAAATAATTGTGTGATGAGCACGGTCATTTGTTCTGTGTCTGGGTGTAATTTATCTATAATATGTATGTATTTAGAAATATATAAGTATGTTTATCAGCAGTTTGGTTACCATAGTACAGGCTCCGCCTAGTTTGGGATCAGACGGCCGTTTGTGAGATGTGTGAAAAAAAAAAAAACTTAAATAGCCTGTATTAAGAAAAATCCGTTGCCGAGTTCCATAAAATTAAGCAAAAGGTACATAGCACATAAAGTTTTGAATAACATTAATTAGTGTGTTCGTGTGTGTGTGTGTAATGACTATGCATGCGTGTGAATCTATAGAATTTTACATTTGACGTTATGTTTAGTTAGGTTAGATCCTGTTATGTAGCATTTTTGGTTATGCGACATAAGCGGTCAGTGCATCGTCGGTTTTAGTTAATTGGCTAAAGCCCAAATAAGTACCTGAGTTGACCGTTTAAAAGTTAGGTCTGAAACATTTTTCTGGTCTTTTTAAATATGTGTTCCAAAATGAGAAGTATAAAAAAATGTGAAAATTTAAGAAGTCTTCTGCTGGTGGTGATAGGCTATACTCGTAGTAATAATATGAGGTTATTGTAATCAAGGAATTAGGCATAACATCCTACTTTCATTGCCGATATTATTTTGCAAACGGTTGCAAACCTTTGATTTAACGCTTGGTATTTGAAACGCGCTGCCTTTGGGAGTTCGATTCCCGGTTCGGGCAAAATTTTATAGGGTTTTTCTGTGAGAAAAAATAGCCTAAGTTACTTCCTATATGGACAGTTACCTGGTAGTAAAATATTATCAAAATCGGTCCAGCCGTTTTGAAGATTACCCGGAACAAACAGACAGACAGATAGACAAAAAGAAATTTAAACTGGTTTTTAGGCATAGGTATCGTGCAAATAACCGTGTGAGCATGAAAAAATCCTATTATTTTGAAGTTACAAACATACACTTCAATTTTATTTATTTGTATAGATTGAGCATATTACCCGGTGGAGTGGAAGAGAAAATGGATTTTTCCAAATAGGATTTTGTTCACGTTAAGAATATGGTAAGGTGGGGCCGAGCTATCGCTTCGGTTCAGCCGTAATTAAAAAGAAACATTTCACCGGTTCTATAGAAATTTATATTATTTTTATGTCTTCTGTTTTCTACCACATATTTTTCCGTTTTGGTTCCAATAAGATTATGAAAAATTTCTATTTTTATAATTAAAAATCTGGGTTACCTCCAAAACACCCGAGGCCTTTAGTACCAACAACGTTGAGGTCATGAAAATACCAAAACAGTTGACCTTTGACATAGTAGCTACAGATGATGAAAATTAATGAGATACAATAAATAAGTAGGCAGGTTATTTAAAAACATAAAGTATCCACCTTTGTTTTTAACTCCCGACACAAAAACGACGGGTGTTATAAGATTGAAGTGTTTGTGTGTGTGTGTCTGCCTGTGGCATCGTAGCTCCCGAACGGATGAACCGATTTTGATTATTATTTTTTTGTTTTAAAGGTGAACTTGTCGGTAGTGTTCTTTTAGCTGTCATCATCATCATCATCAGCCTATCGCAGTCTACTGCTGGACATAGACCTGTCTCACTTAGAGCTATTGCATTTTTAGCTATATTTGATGAAAATGGCGAATTATATATTTTTTCACCACTTCCTCAAAATGGGTATCAAATGAAGAGCTTGACTAGTAGACTACTATACATTATGACAAATTTCAAATCCAAGAACGGTGTCGGTGGTTTTTTAATTTTTTAACTTATACTAAGTAGTAAATTAAGTTAAATAAAACAATGGAGTTTTATACAAACTTTGCAAAAGCTTCCAAATCTACACCATAAACAGATAGTTTCTTGTACACAAGTTCTGCAATAATTTCCATTGCAGGCTTTGAGATTTCCAAACCAAGAAAATGGCATGTTTCTTTACTAATAGCCCGAACGTGTCGATGCAAAGCTGCGCGAATTTTCTGAAAACCCAAAACCTGTTAAAGCGCCATCTATACTACACTAATCTCATTAATATGAAAGGTAAGGAACTACATTATCAAGAATTGGTAGCACTTTAGATTTTATAAAATTTCAACTTGATACCAGCAGATGTCACTTCAAGGTTAATTCAAGAGCAAAACAATGTGAGTACATTTTAATGAAGGAATTATTAGAATTATAGAAGAATATAGACATAGATACGAAATAAATAACTAAGTGTGTAATACTGCAATTCCTTCGTAGAACATACATAAACATTTACCTGAGTTGATGACAATTGTTCAAAAGACGTCATTTTGCTGCAAGTTAACCACAGCTGCTATGGTTTGTTTTTTAATGAACTTTTATATTCACTATACCGACTTGACCGACACTTGACAGTTCTAATATTTTAAAAAAAGCTAGGTACTAAATCTAATAAAATAAAATTTGTTAAGACATAACCTCAAAATGTAAACAAAACAAAACATGTTTTTTTTTGGAGGGTAGTGTAGTGTACGTATTGACAAAAATTCTACCAGTCTTTTTTTAGAAACTATAGAAATTAATCTAGGTAAAACAGTTCATTGTTTTCTATAACTAAATTTTCTGTTCAGTTTTACTTCACTAAATAATAAAATACAATAAAAACTATTTATTTTTCTGTTTTATAGATTTATAGATAGATTTTATAGATCTGCCCAGAAGGGTTGGTATAGGGTTTGTGTCAAGTTAATGAAATGACAAGATGTGGCAATTACGTATAGGCCATATAGCGGAATTTGTGTCGTATCTATCATTGTTATTGTCACCTTACAACCACAAGGCATTGTGGCAATAAAGAAAACCCCATTTTTTCAAAACACACACACACACACACACACACACACACACACACACACACACACACACACACAGAGAGAGATTACTATGTAGCAAGCTAGTTGCATTCATGACTTAAAAAAATATTCAGTGTGGACACTCAAAAAATAAAATATTTTACATGGTCCAGTTGCCTTGTTAATGTGAATAATCTTAAAAGACTAAAATGTTAAGTAATATTTCAAAATGTCTTTTTACACGAGGGGTCCTCTCAATATTTTCGTCACTGCCTAAAGTTATAAGGCTTTCATAAGAAGAATCCAATGAGGTGAGTTGAATGAAAATTACTGATTTTAGTTAACGGGTACCAGAGTACCCGTTACCTAAAACGAGTAATTTTCGTTTAACTTGGCAACGGCAACCACGGGGCACATACACAAGTTCTATACGTTTTTAATTCTATATGTTTTTAATTTGAATTTAAATATAACAAATTTTATTATAATCAATTGCTTGGTATTCATACTCTCAAAATACAACGCAAATATATATATATATATATACGAATAGATTTCAGGATTGACACCTCAATGTATTTTTTTACTAAACTTTAAGATATCTCTAATAATTCTAAATATTAAAATTACTTGCACTGTCAAAAATAAGTAGTACATATTTTTTATAACTAACGTATCCTGGGAGACCATGTACCCATTTAAGGGTTACAGGCAGACTGCTTATTTTTTTTAAACTGAGATTGTTTTGGTTTATAAGAAACACTTTATATTTTTCTGTATTCTGCTCCTATTGGTCGTAGGGTGATGTTATATAGCCTTCCTCGATAAATGGGCTATCTAACACTAAACATTTTTTTTAGTTTCTAGTTTTTTAGCAGTTGAGATTAGAGCGTTCAACCAAACTTTTCACAGCTAATAATATTACTAGCTATTGCCCCCGGCTCCGCCCGCGTGTATGTCGGTTTTCGCGTTAAAAAGTAACCTATGTTACTTGCTGGTAATGTAACTTTCCATTGGTGAAAGAATTTTTACAATCGGTTAAGTGGTTTAGGCGTGAAAGCGTAACAAACAAAAAACTCACTTTCACATTTATATTAGTGCCTACGGATAGTATAGAATAGTATAGATAATCTAAATGCGGAAACCGCAGCCCACAACCAATAGTAAAGATAATAATTAGCGCTGGCTTACGTTCAATCGGTTTTTCTTCATTGCCGCTGTGCGTTGTGGTCTTATAAGTTGATAGGCACGACACGAATTTCGCGTGTGTGTTTTACAGTAACTATAACGCGTTGTGAACCGTTTTGTTTCAATCAGCGTTTTCGGTCTTTGAGTGTAGTATACACATGTTGTGCCCGTTTCATGTATGTTTGTAAAGACCCCCGTGACACAGGATATACTTATTCCTAATGCGGGAGTTGTCTTTTTAGAAATGAATGAATTAATACACCCGAAACTACATTAAAACTAAGTATATAATTGGTTACAAACTACGATGAAACGGAACAATTTAAAACTGCAATGAAATATAAAATTGATAAATATATATGTATAGGTAATAACTTAAAACCAACAAAATATTGCCGTTGGATGCGGGCAGCACAGGACCGGTTGTTAAGGAAAGCCGTGGGGAAGGCCTATGCTAGCAGCTGAAGTCTTCAGTCTTCCGGCCAAAGTGATGGTGATAAAACAAAATATTTAAAATAAATTAATTTATTAGACGTACGTACGTAAGAACAATAAATTACGCATCACATATAACGTCAAACAAAGAGGGCCATAGGTTTTCAGAATACAAAATTAATTTATTTAGGAAAAAACTAGTTTGAGGTGATTAATACATAAGATACATTTAAGTTACATATTTCTTCAGGGCGGTTACCTTTTCTTGTACTTTTAACATATATGTATTTTACTTTATCTTACAAATTATTGTTATAACTTTGCAATAGTTTTTACGCAATATATAAATTCTGTCATCTTGCCTTATGATAAATTCCTTCACAACCTTTAACTAGCCAAGGTATAGATTACTATAAGCTGTTTTAACACAGATAACTTTTTCTTACTATAAGATGTTTTAACAAAGACTTATTTTGCATCAGATAGACTTTTAATACAGATTATAGTGCATTGCAGATTGCACAGATTGCAAATTCAATGAAGTAAGTTTTAGTTAAATATACCATAGACGGCTTCACTTTTATACGCAAAACCTTTGCGTTTAGGATAAGTAAATAAAACACCATTTGATTTTAAACATATTTATAGTGAGCATTCTGTACAACACAAGTGAACATCCTGTTATAAAAAAAAATTACAGCAACCTGCACTTAACGGTTTCCATTAAACAATGTTTTTGTCAGGTAAATTAATTTTATATTTCTCATTTCATGAGTACCTAATCAATTAAAATTAGCAGACATTTTTAGGTAAGCTCATGACTAAAATATTTACTTCCAGCGACGCTAAAATGATGAATAAAAAGTTCAAGGACAATTTGAACAACTTCTAAAATAAATTAGTTAAATATCAGGTTTCATCGAACAAACTTTATTCAATGTAAATTTTGCTATTTTATAGGAAGACTCTTACACAGTTCAAGTATTTAAGCAATAATGCATAACCCAAATATAATTGCCGTTATTTAAAACTACCTATAACGGTTAAGCGAAATGGTCGTATTGAATTTGATTGTATGATATTTTATGTTTGTAACTTTTGCTTATGTTAAGTTAATGCCAAGGCAATGTCAAAGTAACTGTAAAAAAAAACAAATACAATCATGTTGCTCATTAACATTTTTTTAGCAACTTCAACAACTTTTGAGTACCAGAAAAATAGTTTTGTTTTATAAATAAATGGATAAAACATTCCAATATGACGATATATATATATATATATATATATATATATATGTGTGTGTGTGTATATAATATGCAAACTATCGTTCGTACTATCGTTGAACAACAGATGTTCAGATTTCTTAAAATTTACATTTTTCACGTAATTCGGCTATTTTTCAGATACTCAAAATATTAAAAGTACTATTATTATTAGTCGTTTCGCAAAAATATATATTTTTTATAATAATCTTTTGTTTACATTACTACAGTTAGACTTTCTTTACGATTTGAACGACGTCCTCGTCAGCCAACACGTGTTCGATACCCACCTTCTGTGGTTGATGTTTCACGGATGAACCCCACACCAGAGCGCTGTAAAAAAAAACCACAATGTTAACAACTAAGGGAATGATGAGTTGGACACATGTTTTCAATAGTTAGTAACAAAAGCGTGTAATCATTGCATTAATTTCGTGTAAACCCAAGGCAAACGCCTTGGGTTCCCTCTTGTTTCGATGTAGAAAATCTCTTTTTGCATAAATTAAATAATTACCTCTCTATAAGAAACGTTAAAATTAAGAAAAAATCTTCGTTCGTTCGTTTTAGAGTATAAGCCAACATAATAAGTAATATCTTCATAATTTTAGACCCTCCGTCCACTGGGATCCCCTGCTTAAATGCCCTGGAAGATATGCTTGGATTTTTTGTCTACACCCTTATCAATTGTGATACCCTGGTGGAATTATACGAAGTTTATTCTCAGTAGTATAATTATCTATCTGTATATAAATTTACCAAATGTAGGTATGTCCGCGTATTACATTGTACTGCCTAGACCGACTTTGATGAATTTTTGTGTGTTTAAGTGGTTTAAAATCACAATTCGAACCAGTAGGTGGTTACCAATCTAAAATCGGTAGTTCATCAGTTTTGATGAATTACCGATTTTAGATTGTACACTAAATGGAGAATGTAGAATGAAGATATCTCACACACGGCCGTCTGATCCCACACTAGGCAGAGCCTGTATGGTAACCGGAGTACTGATAAACATACTTATAATATAAATTTCTTATTAAATACATACGAGGGAGGTTTTTATGTTCGCGGAATGGGGGATAAGGGGTGGAAATAAAAAAACCAAATTAATTTTCCTTTTCAATATATTCACCTGCAAGACGGATACATTTTTCAGATCTTTCAATTCATTTGTTTATACCCTCATAAAAAAATGTTTTCTCTTTGTCTTCAAAATACGCCGAAACTGCCTCCTTGACTTCATCATCGTTGGTAAATTTTTTACCCCGCAGCTCTTTTTTCATTTTTGGAAACAGGTAATTATCGCTGGGGGCCAGGTCTGGGCTGTAGGGTGGGTGATTCAAAATATCGAAGCCCACCTTATGCAGGGCAGCCAACGCAACGCAGCTCTTGTGGACGGGCGCGTTGTCGTGCAAAAGCAACACACCTTTTGCAAATTTTCCCCGTCTTTTCTCTTTAATGGCTTCTTTGAGTCGCTCTAATATTGAAGCGTAGTATTCTCCGGTTATAGAAACACCTTTATCTTTATAATCGATGAATAATGTTCCTTCTGAGTCCCAAAAGACCGTTGCCATGAGTTTCCCAGCTGACTGTGACAACTTAAACTTCTTGGGAGGTGCTGTGCCCTTTTTATGCCACTGCATGGAGTCTTATTTCGACTCAGGTTCATAATGATGAACCCAAGTTTCGTCTCCAGTAACAATTCTACTCAATACAGCATCCTCGTCTTCATTACAAAGGTCTAAAAATGCACGTGAACACTCTACGCGCTGTTGTTTTTGCGTCGGCGTGAGCATTCTCGGCACCCATCTTGCACTGACCTTTGTCATGCCAAAATGATCGTGCAGAATTCTGAAAATGGTTGTATCAGATACTCCAACCATTTCTGCGAGTTGTTTCTTCATTAGTCGAGCATCGTCGAGTACATTTTTTTCGACTTTTTGGATAAGTTCTGGCGTGATCACGTCGATGCTCCTGCCCGGCCTCGGGTCGTCTTCAAGGGATTCCCTTCCTTGTTTAAATAAACTGTGCCATTTGTACACCATGGTTTTCCTGGACAAGAGTCGCCGTAAACCAATGACATCTCATTCATTATGGTCGCAACTGATTTTCCTTGCTTGGTAACGAACTTTATAACGGCAAGATATTCGATTTTTTCCATGTTTCACTTTTCACTCCCGATTATGTTGCTTGGTTGACGATAACTCAAAGACTAATTGTCTAATAACAATTAAAATTGGTATTTATACTAATTATGAGTCACTGAACACGTGACGATTCTAATGAGCCGGTTGGATAATGAGAGGGTTGGAGGGGGGTGATTAACCCCCCTCCAACCCTCTCATTCCGCGAACTTAAAAACGCACTCTCGTACATATCTAATATATAAAATGCTCGTGTCACGCTGTGCGTGGTTGAACTCCTCCGAAAAGGCTCGACCGATTTTAGTGAAATTTTGTGTGCAAATCGGGGGTATATATATACAGGTGAAACTAATAAAATGGTGTTAATAATTTATTTTCTGTCTGTCTGACGGTCACAAGGTCACAATTTCACAATTTAAGTCACTTTATTTTATCGTCGTTAATGTTTTAATGCCTAATTATCATAAGCACATTATTTAGTAATTTAGTAAACAACGGAAGTTCCTTCGTAGTTTTTTTATCAACAGAAGACATTAAAAGGACGGTAATCATTTAGCGAACTACGTTTTAAATATTTTGGAAAGTTGTGTGTTTGTAAAGAATTTAATTTATTTTAATACAGAATAATGGCAAAACTTGCACAGTTATTTGTATTATGCCTACTATTTCACAAAAGACTAGGCATTGTATATTGTACAAAATCTAAAGTTGGTGATTCTACATCTCAAGCACGTTCGGGTAGTAATTCCACACAAAATCTTTCTAAACAATTTTCTGAAGACGGATTACTCAACTTCACGGAACTTTCAAAAAAATATATCCGACCCGCTGAGGAATATGACGTAACAACAGAAGACGGATATGTATTGAAGCTATTTCGTATACCGGGAAATACAAGCCGTGTAGTTTTAGTATGTCACGGTACGTTTTGTTCATCCGACGACTTCCTGATACGAGGTAATATTTCATTATTTTATTTGATGGCTTTGAAAGGTTTCGATTTATGGGCCATGAATTGCCGAGGTAACAGATATTCTCGAAGTCACGTAACACTAAACCCTGATACTGATCGAAAGTTCTGGCAATACAGCATGCATGAAATTGGCATCTATGACTACAAGGCGGTTATAGACTTTATCCTACAGAAAACTGGAGTCAAACAATTGAGTGTCGCTGCGCATTCTGAAGGAACTTCTGCGTTTTTTGTATTGGCATCTCAAAGACCAGAATACAATAAAAAGGTTAGCGTTTTTATAGCATTAGCACCCATTACTTATATCCAAAGTACTGGTCCTACACTGACTACCATATTAAATTTGTCACCTATTATTATCAAGAAGCTGAAGATTTTTGATGTTGAAGAATTTGCAGGTTTTAACTCCTTTGCTAAGACATTAACCGATGCTTTATGCTCACAAGGAATGATTGGTTACGAACTCTGTTTTAATATTCTAGGAAGTATAACTGGCTTTAATCCAGAAAATATCGAGCAGGAATTCGCCTCTACGATACTAGGGCATTTCCCAGCCGGGACCAGTTTGAAAAACTTAATACACTATGTACATGGTTATCGTCACAAGAGATTCGTACAATATGATTACAAACTCAATAATTTTGCTGTATATGGTTCGTTTAACCCTCCAGTTTACGATTTAAAGAAAGTGACCACAAAAATAGCTTTGTACGCGGCTGAGGGTGACGAGATTGTTAAGATCAAAGATGTAGAAAGACTGAGAATAGAGTTACCGAATGTGGTGCATTACCAGGTGATAAATGATAAAAAATTTAACCATATTGATTACATGTGGGGTCGGAATGCACACGTAGTGTTGTATCAGTCTCTATTTGAACTATTATTTAAATTTAATTAAAAAAGGCTCCACTAAAAGATAAAAAAATGCTACTTTTATAATTATAAGCTAAAAAAAAACGGCTTGTCCTAAATCTTCTGAACGCAAGACGCAGTTCGGAGCAGCGCAGTGCAGAGCTGGTTGTAACATTTTTGTTCGTCGTTCCTCGTTTTGGGCTTGAAGAACTTTGAGACCTTAAATACTCTTTAACACAGACCTCGTTCACAGTTAAAACCAATGACTTGGTTTATCCTCATTAGTTAAGCAGTCGTTATGTTATCATTAGATTAAGTGGTAATTAATTAAACGATTCAGTCATTAACACTAAAAGTAAACATTAAGTCTACCACGAGTAAAATATTTGAGATAGTTGAATAGGTGTGGACTGCTTTTTTACACACAATAATGAAGACATTTGGACAATTATTTGCTGTTTACACACTACTCACCACATGTACGGAGTCCGCAATGCAATCGAAAATGGGTGTTCCTTCAGTATTAACATCAGAAACACTTCCTTCACTGAATGATATTTGTAATTCAATAAAAAATATTCACATACCATTTCCTGAATACGGACAACTAAATTTTAGAGGACTTTCAAAAAAGTATATCCGACCGACTGAAGAATATGACGTAACAACAGAAGACGGATATGTATTGAAGCTATTTCGTATACCGGGAAATACAAGCCACGTGGTTTTAGTATATCACGGCATATTGTGTTCATCGGATGACTTCCTCATACGGGGTAATATTTCGTTATTTTATATGATGGCTTCGAAAGGTTTTATTGAGTGGGCCATGAATTGCCGAGGTAACAGATATTCTCGAAGTCACGTAACACTGAACCCTGATACTGATCGAAAGTTCTGGCAATACAGCATGCATTAAGTTGGCATCTACGATTACAAGGCGGTTATAGACTTTATCCTACAGAAAACTGCAGTAAAACAATTGAGTGTCGTTGCACATTCTGAAGGAACTTTTGGGTTTTTTATATTTGCATCTCAAAGGCCGGAATACAATAAAAAGGTTAAAGTTTTTATAGCATTAGCGCCCATTACTTATCTACACATTCTGGGCTAGGAATGACAGGCGTGTTAAAGTTATCACTAACTGGTGAGTTACAAGTACGGTTCAGAAAATTTTTAACCTTGAAGAAGTTTTAGGGTACTACTCGTTTACTAAGAATGTAATTGACGCACTGTGTACTCAAGGAAAGGCGGGTTATAAATTTTGTTTTAATATACTCGGCTTTGTAACTGGCTTCAATTCAGAGAATATTGAACAGGATTTTGCCTCTACAATAATAGGTCATTTCCAAGCCGAGACCAGTAGAAAAACTCTTATCCATTACGGGACTAATTACTACCAACATAGATTTCAACAGCACGATTACGGACTGAAAAACTTTGCTGTATACGGGTCGTTAAGGCCTCCCGCTTATAATATAAAGAATGTTAATACTAAGGTTTGGCATTATTTGCGGCTAAAGGTGACCAAATTGTTTCAATCAGACGTTGTACGAATAAAAAAGAAGTTACCGAACGTGGTACATTACCAGGTGGTAAATGAAAAGAAATTTAACCATATTGATTACATGTGGGGACGGAATGCACACGATGTGTTGTATAAGTATGTTATTAAACTATTGCTTAAATATAATTAGAAAATCATTTCTCAAAAAATAAGTAAATGCTTTTTTTATATGCCTATTTCTGACAATTGCATAATTCGTATTTAACTGCGTGTTTAACTTCAATCAAATATGAACTACAATTGTTAATTATTTAATATTAGACACTGTCATATGTAAAAGATTTAGATATTAAGCTTTCTGCACTGAAAAGTAAATATATCAATGTAAATAATTCATTCTATATAATTTGTTTTGTTTACATCTTCGGCAAAATATGGCACATGGAAATTTATTTTTATTGTTTATTAAATTTATTATTAAGTACCTACATGAAAACTAGTGATATTGATTGACTAATATCAACTAACATATCCAGTATGAACTACATTCAAGTAGTCCACTTTCATAGTTTAAATCAGAGATGCCCAGTGGTCTATATTCACATCACATCACATCAACAGCCTTTAATAGTCCACTGCTGGACATAGGTCTCTCCTTAGAAAGAAGGTTTTGGTTTTGGTCTATATTGACCCCTATTAATTAACACAAGTTCTTATTTGAAACTTTCAAAGTACTGTAGTAGTGTTACGTGTACCTTTGTGCAGGAAATATCATTGTTGTAGTTGTAAAAACTCAACAAGTTGATAAGAGTGTAGTCATTTGGCTATGGGGGTCTGAGGAATCAGTTCATTTTGGAAAGGGGTCTCTTGCCTAAAATAGTTTGGGAATCCTTGGTGTAAATGATAGCCTGAACAATAATAAATGTAATATGTTGACAGTCTCTAATATTTCAGATACATGCATACCTCGGTATTACTACATTTTTAAATAAAGTTTCCGCATCTGTTCGACTAAACGCATCAGGGTTATTTAAAATTTTCCTTAATGACTGTGTAAAGTGTTTCTGAAAGTAATAGTTATATTACAAAAATCTATTAATAAATCTTTAAGATTATCTAATAACTATGACAGGAAGAAGAGGAGGCATACATGCTTTGCTACCCATATGAAAAATCAGATCAGGTTTCCAAGAATTAAAAAAATGTATACATGTGTGCCTCTTAAAGGAGAAGGCTTTTATGTCATTCTGATGCATATTTGATTTCTTAGTGTTTTCAATGACTTTACAGAAGTTAGCCAGGAAAATCTTTCAAATTTCAAAATTCTTAACTAAGGTAACTAACTGGCCACTTGAACAACACTATGAACAAACGGAAACTTTGCTTAAACTTACATCTCTATGGCATTCATATGCACACACACATATATACACACACCTGTACATACACACATTACACATGCATACACACTTACACGCAAGAATTAAATGCTTTTTTTTTTAAATATATTAATACATAATAAATGGAAGTTTTAGATAAGAGCAGGACTGGTACCCACAACACAAGTTTAATTTTACTGTAGGTACCAGAGCCAGAAAATAAGAAAATGCTGTTGTATTAGAAAATTTGTACTTAATTTGATGTCAATAAATATTATTACTATAGTTCTTCAGTTTGAACAATGCCATATTAACAAACAATTGTAATACTTACTATTTGAATTCCTTAACAATGGATCTATGCAGCTTATTACAGAAGTCTTCGACGCTAGTTCTATCAGCATGCAGTACAACGGGGGCATTGTAGTCAGGCAGTTGTCCTTTCGGCTTTGTATATATCCGGATTAACTTTAGATATTCCCACATTTTCTCCAACAAGTCGTCAAAGTTCCATTTATGATGAGCCGAGATTGGCACACAATGGGGTATCTTGTAAATTACGTCCAATTCTTCTATGCTAATTTGATCTGGAATGTTTAGTGTTATTGGTTAGATGTGCAGGGCAATGACTCAAATGGTTAAATAGCCATTTCACCTTTTTGCTTCATTCATTCTTGCTATCATTACAATAAGAACCTATCATTACAATAAGAATAAATTGAAGTTCTCTTCTCGACTGCGGAGATGGCTTAGTGGTCGGATACCTCGCCGCTTCCTACTGCGCAGTGTTGTGCATTCTTTGTGCAGTACTCAAATTGTTGTTCTGAGACTGGTTGGACTTTGATTATGTTTCATGTATGTTTGTAAAGTCCACCGCGACACGTGATATTTTTCTAATGCGGAAGTTATCTTATTAAAAAAGAAAAGAAGATTGAACTTTTATTGGCCCTAAAAGTTTTAAAGTTTTAATAAGTAGAATGCCAACGAAATTTGAGTGGAATTGACAAGAAATCATTATAAGGTAAAAAAAGGGGTGTCTTTTTTTTGTAATTCTAGAGATACAAGTGGGGTACCTTTACTGTCACTCCTCCAGGATAATAATAATAATATTTCGGACATCAGACATACAACGCCATCTAGTTTCAAACTACGCAGAGCTTGTAGTATGAAAACTAGAACAACTGATAGAATACTTGTGTACTTTTTTTGTAAATACATACATATTATACATAGAAAACACCACAGCAACGAAAGTATTCGTCGACGACGGCGCCGTAGTATCACTGCGGTTGAGTTGGCACATACTATTATGTATTACCCATATTTGCTAATTAAAATATAATATTCTATTCTATGTTACGATGTGCTTAAGCATGGCTTTGCCACTATCAAGACACTTTTTGCCTCACACAACCAATCTGTGGAATATGTTATCGTCTGCGGTATTTCCGGACCGATACGACCCCCAAACCTTCAAGGAACGAGTGTACTCCTTCCTCAAAGGCCGGCAACACTTGAGTTGCAGGCAACTCTTCCATGAAAAAAAAATATACGAATACTTATAATTGTGTAAAATTAAAAATCTTTCCGCATAACATACAAATTGAGAAATGAATTTTCCTTACCAATTTTGTTAAGCAGATAAATACATGGTACATAGAGTCTGTTGCCCTCGATCACATCAATAAGGTCATCACTGTTGGCATCATACCGCAGGGTTATGTCAGCATTATGAATTTTGTATTCTGATAAAATAGTCTTCACTGTTTCTATGTCGAGCTCCGTTTGTGGGCACTAAGCAAAAAAAGTTTTCTTTTTTATCTAGGAACAAGAACTATGTTTAATAAGGTGTAAATATTTTGTTGACTCCACCATGTTTTTTTTGCATATGCAACAAAAAATCTATACTGTGAAAAAATATTTTACTTTATGAATAAACAAACAGATAGATGTAGGCTGTATGTATTATTCAATAAGAACCAAGTTACAACTGGCTATTGGTAAATAAAAAAACCTCCCTAAATATTTAAAAAAGTATAGTAAACCACTTACAGTAGTGTTCAAATTAATTCCACCTTTATCTTTTTTCCTAAAGTGTATGTTAGGAGGTTGCTTGTTTAACCGTAGTCCAAAGCCTTCCAACTCATGTTCTAGAAGTTTCTTGTGCTGCAGTGGCTTAAGAACATCTAATACTATAAAAATAAGACTGCATGTTCTGGCAACAGCGATCACTTGACGACCACGACCTTTGCCATCTTTAGCTCCTTCAATAATACCAGGAAGGTCGAGTAGCTGAAATAAATAATTCAATCATGTACATACTACGCAGCATAACACGGCTATGTTGTACACTGCATTATTTTGTCTATTATATTGCTTATTAATTCTGTAGCAGGATTTATTAATATTTTAAATATACAATATCTTTAGATTAAAAATAACAAAGTCGGTGTGGCAAGTATTATATACCAAATTTATTAAAAGATACAGACTGAATTTAGAGAGTTACAGGTTTTTATTTTAACGTCTGATATGCCGCTACACTGTACAGTGCATAACTGTGAAAGCACTTTACAGTGAGTGGCATATCAGAGGGGTGGCATGTGAAGAGTTAATGTACCAAGTGATTAATAAACTCCAAATGTGTCAATTTAAACAATATTTAATGCCTTAATAAAATTGTATGTTTATTTTACCTGGATTTTAGCACCCTTATACTTAATACATCCTGGTACAGTAGTCAATGTTGTGAACTCATACGCAGCCACTTCTGAGTACACTCCTGCTAAATTTGATAGTAGCGTTGACTTCCCTACAGACGGAAAACCCACAAACCCAATGCGGGCATCACCAGTTTTGGCAACATCGAAACCTGGAAAATGAATGTAAGTGTGTCCATTTAGTTCTGCCTAGTTATTAAATAATAACTAGATTATAAACATTTAATATACTAATGTATATTAAATGTTTATAATATAGAATGATTGAAAATGGCACATAAAATAACCACAGATTGCAAAGCACAATAAATGTTTTTAATTATATGAAATATAAAAAAAATTGTTATGTGATAGTCAAATGTCAATAGTATTTTTCTCATCATCATCATCAACAGCCTTTAATAGTCCACTGCTGGACATAGGCCTCTCCTTAGAAAGGAGGTATTTTTCTCATATTAAAGAAAATAAAGACTTATTAATATTTTAAGAGAAGGAAAACTTGACACGAACCCTATCCCTACCTGTCTCACCTGTATGGCATAGTAGGCCAAAACCTTATTTCTAAGAAGAGGCCTATGTTTAGAGGTGGACTATTAAATGCTGTTGATTGTGATGATGATGATTACTATATTAGCACAGGTTTTGGCTAATTTGGAATCAGTCCGACATGTGTAAGATGTGTTATTATTGTCACCATATAGGATTTTTATTAATGTTATAACAGTGTATAACAAGAATAAAAATCTTAGAAGACATTAGCCACAATATATTTGTAATAATCAATTGCTTGTCACAATAAAACCAATGTTAAAGTTGGTTTTTGTTTTTATTTATTTACCTTCGCCGGTTGCAGCGCCGCCACCTTTAGGTGTGATCAGTTCACGCCTTAATTTAGCCAATCGCGCCTTTAGTATACCCAAATGTAATGCAGTGGCTTTATTTTTTTGGGTTCGAGCCATCTGTAACGGAAACCAAATATTGGTTACAACAATAAGAAACTAATGCTAACGATGCAATATGACATAAGTTTACAGTCATTGTTATGTTTATGCTTAATTAAGTACTAGATACGTATTTTATTTGTCTTTTGTTACAAATATCATTATTCTTTCAAATATAACCTCTACCAACCTCGGCTTCAATACCCGCTATCTTTTCCAATATTGTACTCATTTTAGCTGCTTTCTTCTTTTATCTTACTTATTACAATTGACACAAATGGTGAGAGTTTAAATAAATTATTACTTAATTGTTATTTATAAAACTGAATGAAAGCGTGTCAATATCAGTTCGTGTACAATTTTCCAGAAGTTGAAATTGACAGATGGTAAGTTTTGTAACCTATGTTGCCATTTGCCAACGATTTCATTAGGGGTTTAGTTTAGCTAGAAATTAAGTGATCAGCAAGCAATATGGCACCCTTGCTTGCTGATCGTTTGGGGCTTGTTCAATTTTCGAGAATTCGCCACATTAAAGTTGCTCTAATCAATTTATTGACTACTTTTTATAAAAAAATAGGGATGACTACCTCTTTTACCCTATTAATTTAAAAAGTCATGTTTTTGCAATAACATTAGGAAATAAATAACAGTTACTAATGCTAAAAATTAACTTAGATATTAGATGAGTGATGATGAGATAGATAAGATGAATGAGACGTTAGGATGATTATGTAAATAAAGGAGGTATCGGTAAAGTATCATGTTAATTATTTTATTATACACAAGAAGGTTGGTCGTCGTAATCATAATTACTGTTAGTGATTTTCTAACCAATTTACTTTATAGTCAACTTTGAGAATGTAGAATTGTGACGATTATTAAATTTCTTCTTCTTTGGCCTGTCACCCATTGTTGGGTATAGGCCTCTTCATAAGCACGCTAAGCAGTGCGTGAACTTGCGAGCATTTTTCAACATCAATGAGATCTAAAAAGCTCTTTTAAAAAATCCTGTCTCCTAATTATTTGCGACTGGAATATGAGGAAATGCATCACGTTGCCAATTCTGCGTTGGAAATCTGATAGGTGCAGCTATTAAGCAATGTCTTCTTATTGGTTAGTTTGTTAATAATATAAGGTGTACATAAAAATAATATTTTGATATAATGCATGTATTTCAATAGAAAATCATATTTATAAATTTATTTTCTTTTATTGCCATCTGTGTTTGTACCGCACAGTTTACTGTCACTCAATCCAATGTATTTATTTCTTGAATTACTCACAAGATGTCGCTACAGTAAAGTCAAATATGCGAAGCTTATCACGTGGAAATGCTTTTCCCGCAGGTTTTGCGCATCGTAACGCCGAAAGGAAGGCCCAGTGGAAACTGTTTTCAGAGTATGTTGGATACATGCTTCAGTATTACCTTAGGCGTCGCGAAGCCCAGCCGGTGCGATCGCGATCACTGGCTGGCTTTACAAGTTACGTACGTAAACTGAAGTTGAAAATCTTTCCGCTTGATATTTGTGATTCTTTTTCAATGTGATAGTTTAGGTATTTCAGTTAAGTTTTGTAAGTTTATTGTGAAAGTAGTTGCTGTAATCAAGTGTTAGTTTCTTGTGATAGTTAATTGTTAGGTAGTTAACTGTTAGATAAACTAAAATAATAAAGGGCGTATAGCAAGCAATACTTTTTAAAGTATTCGGTAAGTGTCTGATATACTTACTTAACTAAATATTGTAATATCTTTACATAGATATCCATTCTAATATAATTATGTACGGTATAAAAGATGAATTCGCTTACCTTATAAATTACATTAATACCTACTTACACTGTTTAATAATTACATAGTCAGCAATAACACTTTTCGATTCTCTAATACTTAGAAGTTTAAAAAAAAAAGACTCTACTGGGGATTTGATTTTTTAACGTCGTTTTTAATAGTAAAACCAACTCATTTAATTTCCTAAGTTACCAACACTTTTTAATCACACTATCATTTTATATCTTTCAGAATCAATCAATCAGTATTCGCCAATTTTTAATATCAAAAGATCCAATTTAGCTCTAAGATTATAATATGGAAGAAGATGACATAAAAGTTGCTTATATTTAATTGAACAGATAATGTTTAACTTTAATTTCATATTTATGCCAAAAAAAATATATTCGTAATGATTTACTGCAAATATTTTCTTGGTTACTTGTAATAAGGATAGTTTCTTTCTGGTTTTATATTTTTTTTTTACAGTTGCTTTTTTATTGTCCACCAGAAATTTTGAGCTAAGTATGATGATATATTAGAGGTGAAAATCTCTTGCAACGTATAAGGTTCATTAACATGAATTGAGAATGCCTGACGGTCGAATGTCGACTGCTTTGATTGTCTTGATCAGTATAACTAGAACTGTCATTATTATAAGCTTTTGTAACACTCTCTCTCTCAATTTAAGAGCCAAGCCCTTGTCGGTGGAGCAATTACCGCTCCTCTCTATTTACTGCGATCTGCTTGACCTCTTGTTAGGCAACGACTCCCACTTTCTCCTTCACTTGCAATGTGTATGTTGATCTAGGCCGTCCTCGTTTTACTCCTCGTCGTCCCCTTGCCTTCTATTTTTCTTTCCAGTATTGTTTTAAATAATTTTTCATGTCTTATCAAGTGGCCAACCATTTTGCCTTTTCTGTTTTCAATGGCATTCAACAATTGCCTCTCTTCGTTTGCCATTAGTAGGACTTCCTCGTTGGTTCTATTCTCTATCCAACTAATATTCATCATTCGCCTCCAGCACCATATTTCAAATGCTGCTAACCTGTCTCTGTCTCTATGGGTCAGGGCCCCGTTCGCAGCCATAAAGTGCAATACTCCATATATGTATGTGTCTTGATAAGCTGTTTTCTTATATCGGTGTTGATCTTCGCCGGTTTTCTTGCGGTTGAAGGCTTATTTAGCGATTGCGAGTCTTTCTACTATGTCTGGGGAACATCTAGAATCTTGAGTTATTCGGCTACCTCAATACTTGAAACACGTAAAAATATAGACTGGATCCCTACAGTTTATGTAACCGTTTTTACTAAATGTTTACTTTATAACACACATTGTTTAAAGATTTCAGCTTTTTACACTTACCGACAGATACGTACTCGCTTAAAGATCAAGCATTTCAAGTATGATATTATTATGCTTTCATGAGTAAGGTATATTTGTTAAAAAATGGAGTACCTACTTACAAATAATGTTCTTCACGTATTAAGATTTAGATGTCATTTATCATATCAATATAAACAGTGATGTCAAAAATATAACAGCATAATTTTGGCATCAAAAGCAACTATCGATTATTATAATATACATAGTTGTTCCCACCACAATTTTACTATGGATATTGAATAAAAAGCTTATTAATAACTTAATTTACATATCTATAATATCCATGTGGTGACGGATTAAGAATACGGAGTGTCACCTCCCCTATTCATCCCGTGGGTCGTAAGAGCAGACTAAGGCAGGAAATTACGTAGGCCAACAGTGCAAACAGAAGGAAAACTTGACACAAGCCCGATAGTGCAGCAGCAGTACTGCTGTCCTTCTTTTTTTTTTTTTGCTGCTTTGCTTTTCGCACCATACCCTCCATTTTGGAAAAGAAGGACTGACTCGTAGTCGCGTAGAATGTCTAGTTAGTTTTCCAGCGTGTTATAATGGGCAAAATTCTCCTTTCTAATAAGAGGCTTATTTTATTTATTTTTACACTTCCTGCATTACATTTTGCACAAGGCAGACTTAATGTCACATGGCATTCATCACCATCATCATCATCATCAGCCACCACATACTGCTGGACTTAGGCCTCTCCCATTGCACGCCACCTAGACTGACTTTAGGCTTCTCGCATCCAGGTACTGCCAGCCATCTGGCCTGTGGGGTCCTACACTACGTTTGCCGAGACGCAGTCTTCCCTCAAGAACTCCTAACGGTTTTCCCCAACGGTTGTCTGTTCTGCGGCTAATATGGCCAGCCCACCTCCACTTCAGCTTGCTGATCCGGTAGGCTATGTCGGTGATCTTGGTTCTCTGCCGGATCACCTCATTCCTGATGCGTAGCACGTTGAGTGACTTTGAACTTGTGGACTACCGGTACGTAAGTACGTAAGTGTCCACGTTACGGCTCCGTATGTCATGACGAGTAGAACGCACTCATTGAAGACTTTCGTCTTAAGGCACTGTGGGATCGACAATGAGAAGACTCGACGTAGCTTCCCAAATGGTGCCAACCTAACTGAATTCTTCTGTTCACCTCGTCCTCGAAGTTGTTTCTACCTAACTTCAACGTCTGCCCGAGGTACACATAATTTTAAACAACCTCGAGAACGGCACCGTGTACCGCAACCGGTTCCAGTCGTACATGATGTATTCGCCATTGATATTGATGGCACGCCATTTCCAGTGCAGCGTCTTCAACATATCGTCCATTGCATTTGTGAACAATTTCAGGGAAATAACGTCCCCTTGTCTCACTCCTCGATGCAACGGTATGGGCCTTGTTTGCTGATTCTGTACTTGGACGGACATGGTGGCTCCGGTGGTTGGAATTCGTCGAGTCTTTGCGCAAGACGGTTCGTGATGACTCTCGAAAACAACTTGTAGACGTGGCTTAGAAGGGATATGGGTCGATAGTTCTTCAACATGGTTAGCAAAAACTATCTTTCAACCAAATTCGACTCTGGGCCAGGCAACGGACTCGTGAAGCACACGACCGGAGGTGAAAAAACTCACCCGGCTGCAGACAGCCCAAACTAGTGCTGACTAAATCACGCCACGACTCATCTGCAGATTGATCAATCTTAGCAGACTAGAAATCCGAATAGTTTTAGAAACTATAACAGTACACCTAGCCCTGAACCGACAACTATTCACTATTAATGCGACGGACAGTTCTCTTTGAAGAGGATGTCTGAAAGCAGAAGAAACGGCCACCCACGTAATCCTGGAATGTAAGCGAGTGGCCACACAACGGGCAAGTATAATTACTGATACAGAATCGCTCCTAGAAGCCTGTGAACGCCCCAGGAGGCGTCTGCGCTTCTAGAAGGAGCTTGGTTGGCTCACCTAGCCAACAAGGAAAGGAGCAAGGAAAATTCTTGAGTCTAAATTCGGAAACAGGAGCCCACAACCAATGGTGTACTAGCCGTACCGTAAGTATCCACGTTTCGGCTCAGTATGTCACGACGGGAA